TAAAACCATAGAAACCGTAGAAGAAAACCTAGGCTATACCATTCAGGATATAGGACAAGCAAAGATTTCAAGATGAAGATGCCAAAGCTATTGCAACAAAAGCAGACATTGATAAATGGAATCTATTAAACTAAAAAGCTTAGCACAGCAAAAGAAACTATCAACAGAGTAAACAGACAGCCCACAGAATGGGACAAAATTTTTGCCATCTATCCATCTGAAAAAGGTGTAATAGCCAGCATCTATAAATAACTTTAATTTACAAGCAAAAAACAACCCCATTAAAAAGTGGACAAAGGACATGAACAGACAATTCTCAAAAGAAGACATACATGTGGCAGAAATATGAAAAAAAAATTCAACATCACTGATCATTAAAGAAATGCATATCGAAACCACAATGAGATACCATCTCACACCAGTCAGAATGGCTATTACTAAAAAGGTAAAAAAACAACAGATGCTAGTGAGCTCGTGGAGAAAAAAGAATGCTTTTACACTGTTGGTGGAAGTGTAAATTAGTTCAACCATTGTAGAAGACAGTGTGGTGATTCCTCAAAGACCTAGAGGCAGAAATATCATTTGAACCAGCAATCCCATTACCGAGTGTAGAGCCAAAGGAATATAAATCACTATTATTAAGACGCATGCACGGATATGTTCATCGCAGCACTACTCACAATAGCAAGGATGTGGAATCAACCTAAATGCCCATCAATAATCAACCGGATAAAGAAAAAGGAATACGTATACACTGTGGAATACTATACAGTCATAAAAAGGAATGAGATAACGTCCTTTGCAGGGACATGGATGGAGCTGAAAGCTGTTATCTTCAGCAAACTAATGCAGGAACAAAATAACTCAACACCACATGTTCTCAAATCTTCTCCATGTCAGCAGTGTTACCATCCATATGTTCACTGAGGTGGCACTTTTAGTTGCCTTCAAGAACTTTTCCCTTGCAGTCACAACTTAGCTAATCATTTGACCCAAAAGGCCTAGCTTTGAGCCTGTCTCAGCTTTTGACATACTTTCCTCAGTAAACTTAATTATTTCCAGCATTTGATTTAAAGTGAGAAATATGCTTCTCTTCCTTTCCTTTGAACTCTCAGAGGCTGTTTTAGGATTATTAATTGGCCTAATTTCAATATTGTTGTATCTCAGATAAAAAAAGAAGAGGCCTAAAGAGAGGAGGAGAGATGGGGAAACCACCAGTAAGTGAAGCAGTCAGAACACACACGGCATTTATCAATCAAGTTCTCAATCTCCTAGGAGTGCAGTTTGTGTGCTCTAAAACTATTTCAATGGTAATATCTAAGATCCCTGATCACAGATCACCATAATAGATATAACAATAATATGAAAGTTTGAAATATTTGAAGAATTACCAAAATGTGGCACAAAGACGTGAGTTGAGCACATGCTGTTGGAAAAGTGGCACCTACAGACTTGCTTGACAAAGCGTTGCCACAAACCTTCAATTTGTAAAAAAAAAAAAAAAAAAAAAAAAAAGGCAACATCCGTGAAGTGAAATGAAGTCAGGCCTGCACCAGTTTCTGGGGCTTCATGGTTTTCCGCATGGTTAAGGCACAAGCTCCACACTTGCAAAGCTTGTGAGTGTTATCACTGTCAGCAAGAGCATGAGAGCTGCATTTGTGAACCAGGTGGACATGGCAAAAGTGGTCACAGAAGCTCGCACCAGTGTGTGCATCCGGGTGGCAGAGGTGGTGCTGGCCTAATACATATTCACCTTGAAAAGGAAGATGAGACAAAAAATCAAAATCATCAAGATTCCCATGGACAGGCCTCGTGTATCTGGATATTGTTTGTCACCTGTACCGTTGTCCGAGAACAAAATGGAAAACGGAAGAACTCAGAATTCCTTAGGAATATTAGATAGCTAAGGAATGACTCATCAAAAGTCTGCTGTGCATGTACAAATTATGCAAGAACTCTAGAAAAGTTCAGTTTGCATCAAGAACCCTGCAAAGATAACAAATTACCTGAGGTTTTATTAAAGGAAGATGCCAAACTTCAGATAATAATGGACTTTGCTATGACACTAAGTAGATTTTCCAACGAAGGGAAAAGAGGCATAATGTGTTATAATATGATTGACGACTATAAACTTGTCCCAGGTGAATGTCAAAGAAGTAACTAAAAGAAAAGCATTTTATTATTGCAGTTACACCTGTTACCTTTAAGAGAAGTACCCGTTTATGGTAGAAGAGTATGCCATCCAACATAGTGTCTTTGTTGAAGGAGCTTTTCCAAAAGCGAAATTTAAAGAAACTGTGGAAGAATCTGATGTAATAATTTACTTGAGAAGTTTCAATAACACAGTATCCATGTTCGTATTTTCAGCAGATATTGGCGCTGTAGAGAAGTTTATCGGTCAAGCTGGTGTTTATCATTCAAATGTCAAAGTAGTGTTCACTTGTGGATTTGTGAAAATGTGTACTCAAAGGATTTAAAGAATTGACTCATGCGGCTAATGGACATCATGTTGCCTTGAAGTACACAGAACACTTCAGTCAATTAAAAGACAGTAGCAACATAATGGTGCTGAGACTCCCAAGGTTTTAAAAGGGCATAGAGAATAGCCAGATTTTCACATCCTGAAAATTAGATCTCTAAATGATAGAGTGGAAAAGCATTCAGGAAAGCATTGTTTCATCAAAAGATGATCACTAGAAGTAGCCAACTCTGTCTTACAGAGGATTCAGTAGACAAGCATTCTTGAGGATGTTCCCTCCTGCGGGAGCAGGTGAGACCGGAATTGCTCATCTCTTCATCTTGCTGAAAGACTATTTCTTATAACATAATTCTGGTCCTGAAAGTTTACCTTCAAATATTTAAGTATTCTCAGACATGTGGAATCCATCAACAGGAAACTCGGTTTCCTTCACCTCTCTCACCATACTTCCCACTACATGTTGTTAACAGATTAAAACAAAAACAAACAAACCTCGAAGTAAAAATTAGAAAAATGACTCCCTACTTTTCCAAAATGGTTTATGTTTTTTAATTTTATCAGGCATTATTTTTAGGAGTCTTTTAAGATTGGGAATATTAGTAGCAGTCCAGAAAGAAGTTTTATGAAATTACAAACAGAAAATTGCATACTTTTAAGTGTTGGAATGTTTGTAATTTGTAATCATGCTGATGGTATCGCCATCTCCTAAAATTATGTTATGTTAAGTTATTTTGCTTGGGGAAAATCAATATTGATCAGAAAAGCCTGGCTCTGCACACTTGGTGAAAACTATTAATGTCCACACATCACTAACCATTACAAAATGTTCTATACTGATTCACTGATAATAAACATGAAATGGGAAATATTTTTAAATGCCCATTTTCCTTAAATGGAAAGCACTCATTCAGCCATTTAGACTTTAGCATAAATTAATTTATCTCATTTCTTCTTGCAAACATATTTTGATGAGATACAAATAAAGGCATCAAGGTTAGAAAGTAAGAAATTAAAGAAGACACTATACCATACTGAGCAAAAAAAATACAAGGTTATTCAGAACAAACTGCCTTCTTTATAATTTTACCTAAAGCTAGGCCCGGTACCAGTTGTTTTTCAATTAGTTATTTTTCTTTGGAAATCAAATTCTGGCTAATGACATAATCATTAAAAAATGCTTAGTCCTTCAGCCCAGAATATCATATCCTGCCAATTTAAGCTTTACATTTGAAGGAAAAATAAAATCTTTCAGGAACAAGCAAGTACTCAGAGATTTTATTACCACCAGGCCTGCTCTACAAGAACTTCTAAAAGAAGCATTATACACAGAAAGGAACAACCAGTATGACCCTTTCTAAAAATACACCAAAAAGTAAAGAGCATTAACATAAAGAAGAATTTTTATAAACGAAAGGACAAAATAGCCAGTTAATATCAAATGGCAGCAACCCTAAATTTAAATTGACCAAATCTCCCAATTAAAAGATACAGACAAAATCTAACGGTATATCCAAAGATATACATAGACTCAAAATAAAGGGTTGGAAAAAAAAATGTACCAACCAAATGGAGAGCAAAAATAAATAAATAAAAAGCAGGAGTTGCAATTTTCACATTTGACAAAATAGATTTCAAAGCTACAAGGATACAAGGGTAAAAGGATTAATGTAATAATAAGAGATCTTAACACCCAGATACATAAGACCCATAATGAGATTTAGATTCAACGAGACAGAAAATTGATAACGATATCCGGGACTGGAACTAAGATCCAGAACAAATAAACTCAATAGAGCTCTCCATTTTAAACACACAAAATATATATTATCCACAAAATCTAATGATATATCTAAAGATATACAAAGACTCAAAACAAGGGGATGGAAAAAAAAAAAACTCACCAACCAAATGAAGAGCAAAAATAAATAAATAAAAAGCAGGAGTTGCAATTCTCACATTTAATAAAATAGATTTCAAAGCTACAAGGATGCAAGGGTAAAAGGATTAATGCAACAGTAAGAGATCTTAACACCCAGATACATAAGACACATAATGAGATTTAGATTCAATGAGACAACAAATTGATAACGATATCCAGGACTTGAACTCAGAGCCAGAACAAATAAACACAATAGAGGTCTCCATTTTAAACACATAAAATATGCATTAACCACTTTAAACACTCAAAATATTGATCGGCCATTATTGAAACCTATTTTAGGAATGAAGTAATATTCCTTTTTCCCTCTTTTTCTTTTTTTTCCCTTCTTTAAAAAAATAAAAAAATTAAAAAAAAAATGCTTAGTCCATCATCATCTATAGGCCTTGGTATTCTGTCTAGACAAAAATAAATAAAGATCACATATGCAGGATCAGAGAATTATACTGAAAATAAGAACATCTCCCTGAACTCAGATTGCAAAAAGGTTGTGTATGAAACCACTCTTACTTGTGAGGTGACCCCATATGGAAATAGCTATGACAAACTGTCCTCTAATCAAGCCGTAAAGAATGGACTCACCTCTTCTGGAGGGCCTGATCACACACCTTTGTCAGCAGCTGCAACTCCTGTTGGTACCTAAGAAGAAACAAAGAATAGAGAGGGCTAAGAATATGGTTTGTTTTGTTTTAGTTTTGCTCATTTGATTTGGTCTTGACACACAAGAAAGCTTTTCGCTGGGAACAGCATGTATGCTAATATTTATAGTGAATGGCCGTAATATCTTTGTACTGATCACAACCAGGTACTACTATAGTTATTTTGCTTTACATTACACTGCAGGCCTTTTAGCAGATACAGATATGTGGTGCCTGCCAAGGAGTGAATCCTTCCTGCCAGATATGGGGCAATAAACAAAACGAGTTGTTAGATCTATTTCAAAAGCCATATGTGCTGCCTGAGTTTGCTGCCATCCACTCAAGGGAAAGATCTGCTTCTAAATGCTTCAAAAGGACTCACTCAGCTGCTGATGAGGCCTGTGACCACAGGGGTCTGATAATTCACTGCCGACACGTTTGGTTTTCACGGTTCAGCAAGAATGTGAGCTGACCCACAAGCACAAAGTCTTTCTTCCCTTATGCATGTTCTAGCAAGGTCTTCAAAGTCCTACTGACAGCTCTTCTTGACTAAAGGCCACCATAACACACCTGGACTTTCATTCTCTTCCACTTTTTTTTCTTTTTTTGTGGCTCATCTATGGAATGAGTGTGACACACTCTCTGGCTAAAAGAACATCTCCTAGTGGTTTCTCTCCGTATCTCTTCCTGCTTCTAAGTGGCCGTAATTACAACTTTTCTTATCATAGACATCTGAACCCCAAGAATCCCTTCAACTCCCACTTTCTAGTGTATGCTACGGAACAGTTTAATGATTTTGCTTTAAGTATTCATTAATATCCTTTTTATAATTATTATATTCAATTAGCAGTCAAGAAGAGCTAACAGGATAACTAGTCTTATAGTCTTATACAGGTTAACTCTTCTGGTATCTTCTTCCTTGTTTCGCGGATACCCCATGAAACACACAGTTCATCTCCCTCAGGTGCAGGCTCAACACTTCATGGTGAGTAGCTGGGGAAGATTCAGGGACATTGAAGGTAGTGGTCAGCTTTGTTTGGGTACAAGGTGTAAAAACAAGAACTCAGCCTCAGGTAGATACGTAAAAGTACATCTTGATGGTGAAAATTGCAAGGAATGGAACCAAAATTCTTCCCAGACATTCAAAGAAGATATTTGGACACCAAGCCTTAGATTTTTATACATTTTATTTCAAAAAATCTGCATAATAGCATTTTTCTTACCAGTTATATCTATGAAAAATGCATTTCAATTTTTTTCATTGGAAAACAAAGTAATTAGTCAACATGGGTTTGTCTAGTCTAATGTTGGAAAGGAATTTTTAGTAACCTTATCAAACACATTGGCATTGGGAGAAATGCATATTTTGATCAGCGGAACCTCTCATACCAAAAGAATAGGGATAGGGCCTCACCCTTCCATGACCCCCAATTCTGGCCTTTTTCTGTACCATTTAAATTTCTCACAGAGTACCTTAGCAGACATCATCTTGTTGTTTGAAAGTGTGGAGCTTCTTTTTTTTTTTTTTTCAACCAATAGGAAATTGTATGCCTTTGGCAATTGTTAGACAAATCTCAGCATCCCAGCCTTGCTGTAAATTGGTTCTTAATAAACTTTACACAGAACATTTAAGGGATACTTAGACAATTTAAATCGAGCTCTTTCAAATAGCACATGATACCCAGTCATGATTTTATACCACTTGATCAAGTTGAGCTGTCTTGCCCAGATAGCCCCTTTATATCTCTAGACAAGGTCTTTACCAGCTCAGCCAGAGCATTTTCCGAAGTCCCCACAACTGCCAATGGATCTACGAAAACTAATCACATCCATATCACTGGTAAGCCATTTGTCATATGTGGGGGAATTTTATGTTTTATTCACCAACAAATACTTACCAAGTATCTACCATTTGCCAGGCGCTATGACAGTTGTTGGATATGCAGCGAAAATGCTGGCTTTTTGAAGATTATACTCTATTAGAGGTCATGTATTGTAACTAAATAATCATACAACTAAATTTGTTTTAGATAAGTACCATGATAAGGTGTTGTCAAACAGGAAGTCCTGATTTTAATTGGACGATAGGAGAGGACTCTCTGAGGATGTGATACTTAAATTAAAATCTGAGAAAAATAAATGAGAATTATTCAGGTGAAAAGTAGCAAAAAAATATTTCAAGTCCATGAAAACCTGAGAAGGAAAGTTGAGAAGTCTGAGAAGGAAATCGCTGGGACAAAGAGTGCTCCTTTAATTCAACTAAGATAATTTTCTCTTGCAAAATGTAATCCCTTCTTTTATAACATAAGAGAGCAAAAGATTCAGTAAAGTTAGGACCCTCCTAATGAAGGTCATGATTCTGAGTTCACAGGCATAATCGACTTCAGGGGTGTTCATTGGACTCGTGAGCACCACACCTAGGTACTGAGCTCACTTTGTCTCGAAGGTCACACAGTCTTCTGATCACTGGGGCATAATCCTGCACGTCACGGCAGTACATCTGCAAACTGAGGCACTACCGAGATTTAAGATATTGGCGGCTTAAACAGCTGTCTAGTTTAGAGATGGGTCAAGAGTGGAGTTCTGCTTTTCTAATTCCATCATGAAGGCAGGGTTCTCATTTTCTACATTTGATTAGAAAGAAAATTGTAGGCATTAATGTAAGACCTCTTTAAAACCTTTTGTTTGGTAGAAGTAAGGAATCATTGCAGATGGGAGGCAGGACTAGCTTACAACTCTAGACAGAGCAGCATGTGGAGGCTTGCATTGTGAATTTCAGCTCCAGATCAAATGCAAGAACAAACCAGCAATCTTGAGAGGACCCACAGACCCTCTGAAGGAAGCAGACTGCTCCTGCAGCACCCAGAAGACACCCCAAACACTCTGAGAGGTAGATAGCCTCAAACAACGCCCATCTTGCCCTTTGCCTGGAAACAGACTCGGAGCTGTTGGCTAGGGGGCATGGTGGGAGTGAGACTGGCCCTTCGGTTTGCGTGGGAGCTGGTTGAGGCCTGTGACTGCTGGCTTTCCCCACTTTCCTGACAACCTGCATAATCAACAAAGGCAGCCATAATTCTCCTAGGTTCACAACCCCAGTGACCTGGGAATCTCATTCCTACCCCCCACAGCAGCTACAGCAAGACCCGCCCAGGAAGAGTCAGCTCAGACATGCCTAGCCCTGCCGTCACCTGATGATCCTTCCCTATCCAACTTGGTAGTGAAAGACAAAAGGCAAGGAATCTTGGAGTTCTAGGGCACCACCCACCACCAGTCCCTCTCCAGACTACTACAGCTGATGCTTTCTGGAAAGCTCCACCTCCTGGCAGGAGACCAACCAGAACAAAAATAAAGCATTAAACCAAGGTAAGGACCCTCATGGAGTCCGTTGCACCCTCTGCCACTTCCACCAGAACAGACACTGGTATCCACAGCTGAGAGACCCATAGATGGTTCACATCACAGGACTCTGTGCAGACAACTTCCAGTACCAGCCTGGAGCCAGGCAGACTCAGTGGGTGGCTAGACCCAGAGGAGAGACAACAATCACTGCAGTGTGGCTCACAGGAAGCCACGTCCATAGGAAAAGGGGTAGAGTCTACATCAAGGTAACACCCAGTGAGACAAAAGAATCTGAACAACAGCTTCCAGCCCTAAACCTTCCCTCTGACAGAGCCTGCCCAAATTGGAAGAAAACAGAAAACCAATCCTGGTAATATGACAAAACCAAATTGGTAAACAGGGAGTTAAACTGTCCCTGTTTGCTGATGATACGTTTGACCAAGCAGAGAATGAAATCAAAAACGAACCCCTTTTACAGCTGCAATAAAATAAAATAAAATACTTAGGAATATACCTAACGTCAAAAGAACTCTAAAAGGAAACTACAAAACACTGCTGAGAGAACTCATAGATGACACAAACAAATGGAAACATATCCCATGCTCACGGATGGGTAGAATTAATACTGTAAAAATGACCATACTGCCAAAAGCAATCTACAAATTCAATGTAATCCCCAATAGAATACCACCATCATATTTTGCAAAATTAGAAAAAATCAATTCTAAAATTCATATGGAACAAAAAAAGAGCACACATACCCAAGGCAAGACTAAGCAAAAAGAACAAATCTGGAGGTAACACATATCTGATTTCAAACTATACTATAAAGCCATAATTATCAAAACAGCACGATACTATTATAAAAATGGGCACACAGACCAATGGAACAGAATAGAGAACCCAGAAATAAACCCAAATACTTACAGCCAACTGATTTTCAACAAAGCAAACAAAAACATAAAGTGGGGAAAGGCCATCATTTTTAATAAATGGTGCTGGGGTAACTGGCTATGTTCTCACTGATATGTGGGAAGCAAAGACATGTAGTAGAATTAAAATGGATCCTCACTTTATACAAAAATCAACACAAGATGGATTAAGGACTTAAACCTAAGACCTGAAACTATAAAAATTCTAGAAGATAACACTGGAAAATCCTTCTAGACATTGGTTAGAAAAGGATTTCATGACCAAGAACCCAAAGCAAATGCAATAAAAACAAAGATAAATAGCTGGGACCTAATTAAACTAAAGCACTTTTGCACAGCATAAGGAACAGTCATCAAAGTAAAGAGACAACCCACAGAGTGGGAGAAAACCTTCAAAATCTATATGTCTGACAAAGGACTTATATCCAGAATCTGCAACTAACTTGAACAAATTAGTAAGAAAAAAACAAACAACCCTATAAAAAAAAGTGAGCTAAGGACATGAATAAACCTTCTCAAAAGAAGATATACAAATGGTTAACAAACATATATATTAAAAAAATGTTCAACATCGCTAATGATCAGGAAAATGCAAATTAAAGCCACAATGCGACACCACCTTAATCCTGCAAGAATGGCCATAATAAAAAAATCAAAAAACAGTAGATGTTGGCATGGATGCAGTGAACAAGGAATGCTTCTATACTGCTAGTGGGAACATAAACTAGCACAGCCACTATGAAAAACAGTGTGGAGATTCCTTACAGGGCTAAAAGTAGAACTACTATTTGATCCAGCAATCCCACTACTGGATATCTACTCAGAGGAAAAGAAGTCATTACTCAAAAAAGATACCTGCACATGCACGTTCATAACAGCACAATTCACAATTGCAAAATCATGGAACCAACCAAATGTCTACCAATCAACGAGTGGATAAAGAAACTGTGGCACATACACACACACACACACCACACACACACACACACACACACACACAGGAATGCTACATACTACACAGCCATAAAAAGGAATGAATCAACAGCATTTGCAGTGACCCGGATGAGATTGGAGACTACCATCTAAGAGACATAACTCAGGAATGAAAACCCAAACATCGTATGTTCTCACTGATATGTGGGAAAGGTAAGCTACGAGGATGCAAAAACATAAGAAGAACACACTGGACTTTGGGACTTGGGGGGAAGAGTGGGAGGGTGTCAAGGGATGACAAACTACAAATATGGTGCCGTGTATACTGCTTGGGTAATGGGCGCACCATATCTTCCAATTCACCACTGAAGAACTTACTCATTTAACCAAATACTACCTGTACCCCAATAACATATGGAAAAAATAAAACAAAACGTTTTGTTCTTTCCTTTATCTAAAACTTTGGAGATAAAATATTATATCCCACCATATTACCAGGGTAGAGCTTAGTAAATTTTGACTTGTGTGAAACGGAACGTAGTCTAGTCCTGAGTTGACCAATTGTCTCTTTCACAATCATGCTACTCTAGTGGTTTGAACTATGTGAACTTTCTAGGCATCTGTATGTACAATGTATCATGTGATTATGTATTATAGGACTACATGGGTCTCCAGGGAACCCACAGTTTCGACTTTGATAGGGGTGAGAATCAGGAAGGCCTCAAATTCCTGGATGTATGTTGTATGAAAGGGAAAACTCTTCAACATTTCTAACCAGTGCTAACATGATAACACGTGGTTGCAGTCCTTGCTACGTAAAACACAGAAAAGACGTGATAACCAAGATTAAATCTAGGTCTTTGACCTGCATTTTTTTTGAGATTTCGATACATGAAAAGCAGTATAATAAAAACTAGACAATGAAGGAAATTTCAATCCTTGTCTTTACTTACAAGCAGTTTACTGTCTAGGAAAGGAAACCAAGCCAGATGGCTTTTTGTCCAAAATGATCTGAAGATCTCCCTATCATGTCCAAGGAATTCCGCTGGGGTGTCGTTAGCAAGAGCAAAGTCGGCAAACACTTCAACCATCTAACATCATGAGATAAATTAAATAACCTGGCATATCCATTGAACAACCAGTCATTTAACAGAATGAGGTAAATATGCACTGCTGTGGAAAGCGTTCCAAGAATGTCTTTTAAGAAAAAGAGGCCAGGTGTATGTCTTTTGGCCTCTTTCTCTTAAAAACATGTAAAATGTAAAATGTCAAAAATTTCAAATGTCAAAAACAGTAAAATGGTTTCTATAGTCTTAGAATACTTAAAATGCTCAAAATCACTAATCGCTAGAGAAATGCAAGGTAAAGCCACAGTGAGATACCATCTCACACCAGTCAGAATGGCTATTAATAGAAAGAAAAAAAAAAAAACACTGATGCAGGTGAGGTTGTGGAGAAAGGGAATGCTTACACACTGCCGGTGGGAATGTCAGTTAGCTCAGCCATTGTGCGAAGCAGTTTGGCTATTTCTCAAAGAACTCAAAACAAAATTACTATTCGAACAGGCAGCGTCATTATATTGGATATGTACCCAAAGGAATATAAATTGCTCTCCCGTAAAGACACACGGACATGTATGTTCATCACAGCACTATCTACAATAGTAAAGACACGGAACTAACATGAATGCCCATCCACAGTCACTGGCTAAAGAAAACGTGGTACATATAACATGGAGTACTATGAGGCCATAAAGAAGAATGAGATCATATTCTTTGCAGCCATGTGGATGGAACTGGAGACTATGACTCTACGCAAGCTAATGCAGAAATAGAAAACCAACTACTGCATGTTCTCACGTCTACATGAGAGCTCAACATTGACTTCATATGGACACAAAGAAGGCAACGACAAACACTGAAGCCTGCTTGAGGCTGAAAGTTGAGAGGAGGGTAAGAATTTTAAAAACTACCTATAGGTACTATGTCGATTACCTGGGTGACAAATCAATCTGCACACCAGATCCCTACAACACACAATTTAACTATATAACAAACTTGCACATTACCTCTGAACCTAAGGTAGTGAAAAACAAGAAAAAAGAAAAAGCAGCCATGGACAGTAGAGTGTGGATAATATGGCCCCAATTGTTAAAAAAAAAAAGGGGGGGGTATATATTCAAGGTACATATGTATGCTTATATATATATATCCACAGAAAATTTCTGGTAGGACACATAATTAACTTTTAAGAGTTATCACCTTGTGGAAGTATCAAGGGATAGACATGCCCACCCCTAGAGTATGATCATGGCCAGTGGGCATCCCCATGGCTCTTTAGTAAAATATGTTTCGCATAGGAGAAATCGTTTAACTAATCCTGTTTTCCAAATGCCAAACTTTGGGATTAAAGTTTATTTTTCTTTATGCCCTTTTCAGGTATTGTGGTCAATAAGCCCAAAGATGGAATGTCCTGGCCAGTGATCATAGCAGCCTTACTCTTTTGCTGCATGGTGTTGTTTGGCCTTGGAGTGAGAAAATGGTGTCAGTATCAAAAAGAAATGTGAGTATAATACTAAGATATGTAGGAACTGATCATTTCTCATTATGAAATAGTCATCAGTACAATATATCATTACTCTATGACGGTCCTCTCATGTTTTAGTGAGTAAATACGGCTCACAGAAGCTCGGAGAGATTATCTAGTTTTCCCAGCAACCGCAGACTTGGGATTAAATACCCAGCTCCTGGCACAGGATTCCTCTCTGCCTTGGCCTAGTGAGACAGTAACACTCACCAGATACAGCAAGTCCATGGGCATGCAATGAGAACGGAGCCTCACCTCCCCTCAAAACTAAAACTGAGTTTTCTTTTAATCTTCATTGTTTTTTTTCTTTTCATGCATCTTTGAACTGCCCGGGCTCAGCTGGCCATAGATGCTCGAGTGTGAAATTGAGTGAGAAAGGTAATTTTAAGAGGTTTCCAGCTGTTTTTTTTGGTTTTGTTTCTGTTTTTGTTTTTTAACTAGAAGGGGCTTCTACTGCCCTTTTCCTTTTTTCCCTGAGAAGAAAACAAAGTAAGCATTGGGTTACCCCTTTTTTGTCTTATTGAAGTATTTTCCAAAACCCCTCTCCAATCAAAAGCCTGAAATGGTACATAAGGTTAAGCGTCATTTTTCTGACTTGCTATTTTCAGTCAGTCTGGATTGGGCCATAATTGAAAGAGACCTTAGTACCCAGAGCTGATCTTGCACTTGTCTTACTACTGCTCTCAGATACCATTAACCATCATGCCATGTGCTCGATGTGCCAGACTCTATAACCACATACAGGGAGTGGTGAAAAAAACACTAAATCAGTCGTTAGAAATTCTGAATTCTTTCCAAGGGCTACAATTTGGCCACCACATGACCTTGAGAAACTCATAATTCCTGCAAAAAACAAAAGTGCAATTTTCATAGAACTATATCCACTTAATAATATACATGAAGTCTCTATTAAAGTAGTTGAAAATTGGGTAATAGGGATTAGAGAGCTTTTTATTAAATGAACAAATGAAATCTGAAAATTTGAATTGATTTTTTAAATTGTTCTGTATTCAAATGTTTGTGTTATATAGAGATGAGAATCAATGTCTCCCTCCTCCCTCCCCCTCCACTGCCCACTCTTTGTCTCTCTTAAGATACTATGGATTGCCAAGGCACAGAGGTGTTTGAGTGATGGACATAAAGATTATAAACAGGGATATATTTCTGTTTCCTGATACCAAGATAGCCAGAGCATTCACATGGCTGAATTCCACACTAATCTAGCTCTTTAATGCATTTCGGAAAAAAAGATGACTTGTACTAACATAAAATAGTGCTTTGTACAAAGATGACTTTAAGAATGTTCACTGATTCGAACAAAAGGGATTTAGGCTTTTTCTACCCAGTACTCAGGGACTGAGAAGAGCTTTACTTCCCTTCTCTGTCATATCCCCACAGTACATAGTGAGTGTCGGGTGAAGGATGGGGCCAGGGTTAGCACAGAGGCTGTTTGAAAAGCTTCGTTCTGAAGTCCTAGAATTTTAAGATTTAGTCTCTGAAGAAACATTTTAATCCTCATAAGAGAAACGTTTTTTCTATGAGGAGACAGTCGTCATGGAGAACATCAGCTCTGGGGAGAAGACTTGAATTGCTGGTCTGGTTCTCTCGTGCAAGCTGTTTAAAACCTCTGAGCCTCAGTTTTGTCTGTAGAATGGGGACAATAACACTCAGTTTCTGCAAAGTATGTTACGATAAAAATGCTCTGCACACTACAAAACTATAAATATTAATTAATGGTATGATCGTGACATTCAAATGGCTAATAGGCCTAACAAGCAGAGGGCTGTGCCAACAAAAACGCTGAAAGAACTGGGAGTGATATCTCTTTCTCGTCAATCTGTGTTCTCCTTTAAAAAAGAACAATGCATGTCTATGTGTCTGTGCGTAAGACTCCCTCACATTCTTAGCACTAAAAGACCAATGTTTTGTTTCTAGCATGGAAAGACCTCCCCCTTTCAAGCCACCGCCACCTCCCATCAAGTACACTTGCATTCAAGAGCCCAACGAAAGTGATCTGCCTTGTCATGAGATGGAGACCCTCTACTCTCATGAGACTTTGCCCCACAGCAGAACTCTGCTGGAATCCTATTGAGAAGGTAGACGCTGTGCTTTATTAATATAGTCACTCTTCAGCCACCCCTCTGCTGCAGCTGAAATGGAAGTCAGAAGTGAGTAATCTGTTTCCCAGCAACTCACCCTCTTTCATCTCCAAATGCCTGAAACTTAACTAAGAGTGAGAGGATATGCCATGCTCACACTCAATGTAACTGATAGAGGTTTTCTTGCTTATGTAAGAACTGTACAATAGTCTGCCATCATTTAAAAAAATACAGTATTTTTATTTAAATTCTCTGATGGAAGGACGACACTGGTTTCAAGTGCACACCCATGCCTCATCCTCTTATCTGAACGTCTATTAACATTGTAAGCTATTTGCCAAAATCCTGGGGCTTTGTTGCATTCCCTAAGATAAGTATAAGAAAAAGTCAATGTAAAAGTCCTAACAAGACTGCCAAGTAATGGAGAAGTATGGTTAGTCTTCATATTGAAATTCTGTTGCTTATTTTCCTGGAAGGAAAACCAGGAAAAGAGCCACAAGAACCACATTTTCAGTCCTCCTTCACTGTCTTCCTACCACGTTCAGCCCAGACTCCTGCCACACGGACCAGGAGGAAGAGGGATCAAGGAGATAACTAGCCAACAACCAAGTTGGCTGGAAGATACAAAACTCCACTGGCCTCCAAAATTACATGAGCCAAGAGTGGTTTCATTTGTGTGCCTTCGTGGGTGTGTCCATCAAACTGGTACCAAACTGTTTTGTAAGTAAACAGGCAGCCTAGGCCCAACCCTACTCATCTAATTCCTGTTACTCTCTTTTTCATCTGGGGAGTTTCCTGTTCATCTAAGCTGCCTGTTTTGATCTGTTTTGAAAAAGGTAAAGAGCCTCAAATCACATCAGCACTGATTAATTAACCTTGCTCCTACCAATCTTTTACAAAATAGTTGAAGCAGAATGTAGAGGTGTCAGAGAAGAAACCTAGTGAGCCAGACATGCTCTGTATTTGGCAACAGTTTGTGAGTGAATAAATTCCAATCCTCCTTGTCTCCTGAGACCTTCCCACACTCTCTGCTCCAGGAGGGAAAAACAGATGTTGTTGACAGATACAGTGTTGGGCAAATTCTGCGTGGACTTTAATCCCCAAAGGAAACTTTAGCTCATCTGCAGTGTACTTATCCCTGGCTGCACATGAGAATATCTTGTGCAGGCTTATTTGGAGAGTATGTCTTTCTTAAATACTATAGCTGACACACTCCAGTTCAATTAAATCAGAACGTCTGAGGAGTGAGGCACAGGCGTCCGCACTCTCAGATGATTTGCATGTTCAAAGTTGTGAACTGCTGAGCCAGTGGAAGTTCTTTCTCATTAAGAATCTGAGGTAGGTGCTTACCTTATGGTGGCCACCCCTAAGATGAGCCCAGTGTTCCTGCCTCCTAGGATTCACATCCTTCAACAGTCCCCTTCAACACTGAATACACATGATTCATGTAACCTGGGGCCAGGATTAAGGTGAGGCAATCAATGTACCTGGGGAAAAAACGTAAGGAGGCATTCACACTGGGGGTCACGCACTTGCACAACATTGAGAGTCAGTACCAGTGTCATCCTTGGTATAGCCAAAAAAGCTTAGAACTGACCAAGGACAGGTCATAAAACACACTGTGGCTTCCACTTTGATCTCTCTCTGACCATTGACACTGGGAAAGCCTATTCCATGCCGTGAAGATACCCAGGCAGCCCTACTGAGAAACCCACCCGTCAAGGAACTGAGGTATTCTGCCAACAAGCATTAAGCTGCCAGCCATGTAAGGGAGCCATCTTGGAAGCAGATCCTCCAGCCACCAGTCAAGTCTTCAGATAACTGCAACTTCAGTCATCTTTTGACCAAGACCTCAAGAGAGCCAAAACGACCCAGCTAAGCCTTTTCTCAGTTTCTGGACCTCTAACATAGGAGATAAGTGCTTATCTTTTAACACCTAAGTTTGAGTATAATTTGTTACATAGCGATAGATAAATATACAGCTCAATAACTAAAAAAATAAACTACTACCTGCCTTAATTAATTCCTTGTTAGTTCTCAAGAAACAAATTCTAACTTTATATGCATGGCTGTTGCTTCACGTGTATAGATATTGGTATATAATACGACTTAATCATCAGTACTTTGTGTGCAAAGCATTGTGGCTTTATTTTACTGTTTTATTAGGTATATGAATACAAGTAGAACATGGGGGTAGAAAGTGGCAGGGTTGGAGGTACGTAGATCGTTTCAGTAAAGGGAGAGAGTTTTACAGTAAAACATAAATCCATGTAATTTATCAATCTATCACATGACAGGTGTCTCACTGTTTTTATATTAGCTCTTCTTTGAAGGACACTCTTTTAGTCTCATAATTAAGTTCTGGTCATCATTTCCATATTCATTACAACTTGAATAGAGTGAGCAGTTCCTTATCCATAGAGGGGTCCTCGGCGAGCAGTTCAGAGGAACTTTTCACAAACCTGCAAATTAGAGGGGCCCCAGATGCCTTTTAGGTAGTACTGTGAGCTTGACATCCCTTATTTGACTGACACAACAGTTTCATTTGAGCCTTAAGGTGTGTAAAAGCAAATTCATAGAGTCTGTCTCAACCAGCAACTCCTGTCTCTAGAAGTGAATTCAGCTCTGTCTCACAGGAGAAATAGCAACACTAGACTCTAATCCCTAAGGTTTAATTTTCACTGAGAAAAAGCCACATGTAAGTATGTTTGCTGCTTATTTCCAAAACACTGTGTGTTAGTTACTGTTGTTATTTAGATATTCATTTCCTTACCCACCTGCACCAGGAGCACGCCTCAAATTGACTACATGATTTGTTTTGCAATGGAGTATCATGGGCATGACCAACCCAAGGTTTGAAAACTACTTCTATGATTGGATTCACTCTCTTCTTTTCTACCATCACCATGAGAAGATGATTTTCAAACTAGCCTACTAGTGCCAAGAAGAAGAAGAAAGCATCGTGGAGCAGAACCCCTCAAGGCTGGCCCATCTCGATCAGCAAAACCCACAGCCTACCTCAACAGGCACATAGTTAAATATTGTCTCATGCCACTGAAATTGTGTGATTATTACGTAATATTGTAGCAATAGTTAACCTATACCTATAGATCCAGAGGCAGGCATATTTTAGCTCATATGTAAGTGCCTAATGCATGCTTTAGTTTAAAAAAAGAGTATTTTCAATTTTCTTTGGTTCAGCATGAGTTTTGTTTTAACTAAAGAAGATATGGTTGATTTCACCAAATTAACTTTGCATTTATAGGTCTTTAAAATCATAGAACATGTGACCAGGATGCGTATTAGAGGTTATTTTACAAATAATGAGTTAAGGGTTCTATGAAATTGACTTGCCCAAGGTCACACAATTGGAAATGATGAAGCCAAAATGATGACCCAGTTCTCTGATTTGTAGCCTAGTGTATAATCAATCTTTAATTTCTTTGGTATCTTCTTTACCCTGGGAGGTGAGATGCTCTAGAAGGTATCAGAGAAAATGAGGAAATGAAAAGAGAAAGGAGAGTCATCAAGGTCAGAAGCTGGAAAGAACGTTTAGAGAAACTGAGGCCAGAGATATTGAAAAATGTCTCAGAGGCTCTGAACAGGGGAAGAGGTTCTTGAAGGCAGCCCTCCTGGCATCCAGACTTAGGAGGGTGGCTTTGAACCTGAAGGTTGACTCTTCAGAAATACAGTTTGTTCTCTCTGAGACGGGGATGAAGTGCACAGCGTAACTGACTGACTGAGAACAGCAATCATAGCTGTGTCAACCCGCTCAAGGATGGTGTCCACGTGAATGGCAGAAATATGTGGTGAGAGTCATGGAGGCGAAGCAGTTTATCTCCCAGTTCCTGCAAAGGTGCCTTCCTCCCGGGTTTCCCAGATTACTAACAAAGGCGTCGCGCTGCAGCCAGGAAGACATGACCAGAGAGCAGGACACTATGACCTTAAGCAAGGTCAGGGCCAGGGAATACTTTTGGAATTATTCTTTTGTTTTTAAGCCAGTCTAATTTAGCAGTGGGGGGTTGTATACCAACTTTAGTGACCCTAATGTTATAATAAGTTCTGATAACCCACCACCATCGGACAAGCCTGGAATTATTCTTAAAGCTGGAATAGGGTATCTGTGATGGGTCTTGATATTATGTGGGTCAAATAACAGAAATGGGAACCGTAGAATCAAACTTTTCTCCTCAGACAGCATCTTCGTAGCCTGCAGTCTCTGTTACAGTCCTTCCTGTTCTGCCCACTCAGACTCCTCGCGTTTGTTCCAAGGCTCCGTGGCACTGTGATTGTGGGAGGGACGCTGGGTGGAATAGTGGGGAACAGCAACAAACTCAATATCACAACATAAAGAAGACAGCATGGGGCCACTTCCAGCTACCCTCAGTAAGTGCCAGAAACACACGCACCTTTGCCCTGAGTTTTGTCAGACTGTTTCCTATTTACTGTCCAAAGAAGACCTATCACCAAATAAAACTGACTACAGCATTATGCTATTCAATTGTCACCAGAAAATACTTAAAAGTGCCAAGAAGGTATGCTGGAGGGTACAGAACAACAGTTACATGAATCCTTCAGAGAAGTTTGACAGTGGTCCTGATACCCTGAGAGGCACGTCTTAGAGTTAGCCTCTTTATTCTGCATTTTCTCTCTTCAAAACATAAGTATCTGTTAATGCCAAATGGGAAGATGAACAGGGATCTGAGAATTCCATCTATGGTAGAATCATTTTTGCATCACTGGTTTGAGATAAGCCTAATTCCACTCCTATAGATAACTGGGTTGCATTGGATTTTTCTTATACATAAAGCCATTGCACTGATTCGAAGGGACATGCTTTGATGACTAACAGATCTGAAATCTAACACAACTATAAATAAGAATCGATTTTAATTTTGTGGCTAGTTACTAGAAAAGTATGACAAGCACCATTCGTGAGTACCTCTTTTGGATGGCCAGTTTAGGGTTTGTAGATTCCACACTCATGAAATTAATGTAAAATATAAGAACTACTTATTGCCTTCAGTGAATGTAAAATTTAAAGGAAGAGTCAGACATTTAAGCAAATAAATACAGTACAGTGTGATACATGTAAAAATTAAATTATGCACAAAGAAGAGAAAATAATAAAGAAGTAAGTATGATCTCAGGGACAACATGTGAGAAGTATTTTTAACGGCTTCTGAAAGGAGGCTGTCAATGGAGTCGAGGCCTCTGCAGTAGAGACCCTGATATCTGAGACACAGTGATGGGAACTGAAAAGATTACCTGCGGGTTATACCAAGGATGCAAGAAGCATTTGATGATAGAAAAATGCTTAATATAATTTACCACATAAATAGAACTAAGAAGAAAAAGGATAAGAATAATCTCCACAGCTGTTTAAAAAAATCTTTGGCAAAATTCAACACCCATTCCTACTAAAAACTCTTGAGGAAAAAGGCATATTTTCTTAACTAAATGTATATATAACATGTGCATGCATATCTATCTATAGCTATATTTGTAGATACATATATGTACAGTTATAGTCTATAAATACTATATATAGTTATATGTGCATATGCATATATACATATACTATACGGTCACATATATGTAACTACAATTGTACAAATATATATGTAATGAAAGAAAAGATGAATAAATTTAGCTACTTAAAAATAAAAACAATATGCATGAGAAAGAAAGCAAAGTCAAAAGGCAAATAATAAAGTAAGCAAAAATATTTACAACATGTCATAGATGATATATCAATATATATACCTTTATTAATATATCTAACTGATAAAGAACTTACAAATATTGAGAATGAAAAACTGAAAAATCCTATGGAAAAATGGGCTAAAGCCACAAACAAAAAATTCACACAAAAAAATTAAAATGACTCTTAATCACTGGAAAAACATGAAATTTATACACAATAAATGCAAATTGAACAATATATTCAGATATCAGTTCTTCTCCATTTAATTGTCGTGAATTTCAGGTTTGACAATATTCTCTGTTACCAAGGCTTTGGGGAAACATGCACACTCATATAGGGCTGAAGGGAGCACAAACTAGTGCCACCACTATTGACAAGAATGTGATGATATCTAACAAAATCACACATTAATTTATTCCTTGGCATTATAATTCAGCTTCAGGAATTCACCTTGAAGCTCAGCCTCCAACAGTATAAAAATATGTATGCACAAGGTTATTTTGGCATCATTATTTGTATTTGCAAAGTATTAGAAATTATCTAAAAGTCCAAATACAGGAGATTGGTTGAGTAAACTTTGGTAAATACCCAAAATAGAGTTAATGTACAGTTGTAAAAATAAGAAGAAAGAAAATTTCTATCAACTGATATGGAGTGATTTCCAGGTATACTGTTAAGTGAAAAAGGTGAAGTACAAGGAGCACGGAATATGCTACCTTTGTGTAAGAAAGAAGGAAAAAAAATTTTGTGAAGTATTTATATGACAATTTTTACAAAAAG